TACGAGGCTCGGATCTCGTAATGTTCTATCGGGCAGAGAGGCGAAACATCGAGGCGGAACGCTCGATGGCCATTTCCGACCGCACGTACCGGAAGTTTCGCGCGTTTCACCTGCGTCCCTGCCTTCCATAATCGCGAACACGATCCGCGTCCGCGTTACGAATAATACAGATTAACTGTCAGTCTCTCTCGAGTCGATGACCGTGTTGATTCCTAACGGGAAATTATCAGGAGACAGCCTTTTATTATTACCGAAATTGCGCTAATAATTTCTGCCGGTGTCGTTATCAATTTCATCGGTCCGTGGAACGAGGTCGCGGAACGGCTGAAAAATCGTGGCGATACGTCAAAAAAAGACGGAGAAAGATTTATACGTTGAGGGAAAAGGGGACGGAAATCGAAGGGGAAGAAAATTACAGAGCAGAATTTAGCGGTGACTGTTCGCTATCGCGAGCTGGTAATTCCGCCACGGTAATTTGTCATCGAGCAATCGACGTATAAATGCGTGGCCGTTCGCCAGGATACAGGGCGACACTCACCCCCTACCGACAGGTTCCAACATACTGGAAATTCTCTAGGACTCGCTACCATTAACATTCGCGAGAACTTTGATAAAAAAATAAAAAGGAAAAATCGAGGCTTTGATAGCAAGGTGATTAATTCGTTTTCTCATAGGGTATCGCGTTAAAAACCTCCTCGCTCGACGCGCGGAGCATTGTTACGCTCGAGCGACAAGGGTGGCGTGAATTTGACGAAGGAAGTGATAGTTTTCCTCGATCGAGCACGGTGATCATCGTCGAGGATCATTTTTTAACCGGCAGATTCGTTTGGAAATTGGGCAGGAAAATTCAAAAGGGAAAGGGTGAAATGTATGTTGCTATAACACAGCGAAAGAGCCACTGCTCCCACTCTTACTACTTCAAACTTCCCCCACCATCCAGTAGTGTCAGTAGTGGGGCAACGGTTTCTAGCAGCTAGGACTAGGGATACGCGTGAAATATTGGAAGAGTGGGGGGAGGCGAGCGCGAGCTGCATGGTGGGGGAAGGAGCCACGAGCGGCCCGCGGGCCGCAGATTAGACGGGCCTGCTATAACAAGATCAGCAACGCAAGCCCTGCGCAAAGTGGTTACTTATTAATTGCAAAAGTAACGAGACATAGATCACTAGATCCTTAATCATTTTTAACGCTATATAAAATTGTGATATCGAATGGCAGCTAATGAAATTGGTTGGCTAGCATTCGCGAGAGCATCTTTATCCTCCTTTTACGTTAACTTTAAACGTTTAACGAGCCTCTAAGTGGCGCGTTTCCGTTGCCATTCGATCAGTTCCTTTTACGTCTGTCGGATGAAAGCTGCTCTACTTCGGGATTCTCGATGAAAGCTTTCAAGCTGGAATATCCCGGCGTTTACGTGACCATTTCCACCACCGCGATTACAAACGGCGAACAGAAAAGATCCGTTCGTGCTTCTTTTTTCTATCTTCCTACTTGAAGAGGAAAAATATTTAGCAACGAAATCTTTTGAAAGTGAACGAATGAAAAATTCACCGATTCAAATCTTTCATCGATCTCGGTGCATTTATATTCCTTTTTAACGAGCGACTTTAGCCGACAAACTTTCGACCGCGCGTCTATTAATATTCATTCCTTTAATCCGACTTAAAGGCCAGTTCTTCGGAAGTTGCCGGGCTCTTTGCCTGGCCACGATTCATCGTCGGATCGTGCTTTCCATTTGTTCCTCGGGTTCATCCACCCATTGTCCTCGTGAAAAGAGAGAACGACACTAGATGATCGATCACCGTTCGCGCGAAACGTCAACGAACGACAGCTCTCCTTCGCCGGAGGGCAGGGGAAATTTTAATTTTTCAAAAAACACCTTCGACAGTTTTGTCCTCGAATCCGGCTCGAAATGAAAAACCATCGACGAGGAGAGATGCGACAGACGCTTTTCCGTTGATCGCCTCTCTCCTCGACGTTTTACGTATTAACGTTTAATAGGAACTTTTTCATTCCCGAATTGGGTCCGAGGATTAACGCGTAGAGTATCGCGCTTCGTACCGCGAAGGAGATATATCGTAGGTATAGAGTTGTTTATTTTTTTATTAAGCGACAGGGAAATAAATCTTTTTGGCTGGAAAGATGACCCAGTTAACAGATTAAAATAATCCCAACGGTACGGGTCTCCCTGTTCCCGAACGGATGAAAAACGAGCATCCAGATTCTTCCTGTATTATTCTCGATCTAAACGAATATCGATGAGAATCGTATTCATGCGCAGAGACAAAAGAAACCAATTCTTTTCTAACGAGACAAGAACGTATAGAAACTCTTATGATCGAGGTCTGCAGTTGAAGGTTTCCCTGTAGCGTCGACTAGAATATCAATGGTACGCTATTTTTCATTTCTTTCCCTTTTTTTTTTCTTTTCCTTTTCGCTTCTTTTTTTTAAGCTCCCAGAGATGAACCGAATTGCTTTTGCATTTATATTGGTTCGTGCCAGTGAATCGGCCTTTCTTCTTTCTGCCCCGGACTCGCGTTTCTTGTTTCCCCCTTTTCTCTTTTTGCTCCTTCCCTTCTTCTTTCACCGTTCGCCATTGCGGCTGTGTTCTCGTTTCCGCTAGAGGAACACGTGATGCAGCTGCTTGATTTTACAAGAAGCAGAAAGCTCATCGTCGACCCTCCCCCAACCTCGAGTCGGTAGAATTTCGATGACACGGGGTTGCAGGGTGAGAGCTCGTATCCCCGTTTTTCTTTCTCTGCGCGAACAGATTCCCGGCAGAAAATTTGATTTTCTTCCGTCTGTGTCACTTACGGTCTCTGTGTTCTTATAGAAATGCGGTATCTTATGATTTAGTTGAGCCAGAAGTAGTAGTTATTCCAATCTTAGAAATTTCTTTTGATGGATCTCCGCTGTATTCCTCCAAGAGCTTTCAATTATTATTTGAAATGAACCCATCTATTCCATAAACACGATTGATCGTGAAAGAATTAGTTATCGCGAAAGAGACAAATTACCCTTGTAGAAAAGCGTATCGGTTTTCCTCTTGATCTGCATAATCCTTTATCAGGATCCACGTTATTATATCTATTGATGGAATAAAAAAAGGCTGACGCGAAATATGTTACTTTAGAAAGAAGTTAAGTGGTTTTAGTCGTCGTTAAACGGGCACCGTAGGAGGGATGCTAATTTATTCGTTATTCATTATCAAGAAAGAAATTGAACAGGCACGATTTAGGTGGGCCGTTACTTATTATGCAAATTCACCCTTACGAAGCGGTGTAGCTGGCGGGACGAACTTGCGCCAGCATAATACAGTTGTAGGGGTTTTTTCCGAAATTTACGATAACTGGCATCCAGATAACCCAGAAACGTGCTTATCCTTCGGGAGTAGTAGCAGCAGCTGCGTTTCTGCAACGACCCCCAGCCAATCGGTTTAATTCATCTCTGGTTGCCGTGTCGTGGCTGCGAAAGAACCGAAACACACCGCGTATAAGTGGATGCGTGTCCCCTATTAAACAACCCTGTTTCAACCGATTTTACGAGTTAAACAGCCAACTCGCGGCATCCGAGACGCCAGCTGGATATTAACCGACCGTTTTATGGGATCGAGCCAAGTATATCGCGCGGTTATCCCGAAGGTTCTTCGAAATTTTCGCTTAAAAACCGACGGTGCTACGAGGGCAGGATGATCTGGTAACTGTTCGACGTGGCCTGGTCACGTCGCGTGCTGGCAATCGATTAATCTTGCCGGCTAATCCAGGAGCCGGCCGATCAGCAACCACGATCACGCCGGATTAGAAGGCCGATTAAACGACGACCACGCGACAAGCCGGCCACCCTTACTCCGCGTAAATAATGTCGGTCGCGGTTCTCCAAGGCTCCCAGGGGATCCTTGGTCAACGAAGCGACGCAAACGATCCTTTCTCACACGAAGAAACAATCTGAGCTTAAACTTATCATTCGACGTTTCACCGGCTCTTTAAATCTATCCTCGTCGACGTTTCAATGTCGTAAAATTAACGGAAACAAAAGGAAAAGGAATGTTAAATTAAGCGCCCTCGAACGAGGATCGCGAACAAGATTGAGTTAATTAAATCAAAGGTTCGAGGCTGGTCCTTACGCGTTTCCGATAAGGGAATCTCAGAAAACGGAGCGTGTAACCGGGGAAAATTCGCAGGCAATCGAACGGGAAAGGACCAGTGGCAAGGAAAATCTCGTATCCTCGGAGATACATAAAGAAAGGGAAAAAAATAGGGAAAAGGGGGATAGAAGAAAGGGTATTACAATTTCAAATGCAATTCCTTCGTCTGGTCTCGACGGGCCACTCGGAACTATCGAAACGACGACACCGTAAAACAGCACGCGCGAGTTTTCCGCTCGCGCGGGTACCAGTTAACCGCGCTGCTTGCTACGCTCGCTGTTTCGCATTACCAGGATTAAACGGCTTGGAAAATGGCGTCGATAGAAACGATTCGACGGAGGCTGCGACTCTCCGTTCGATGAGTCGTCGAAGAAACGATGTCTCTTAAAATAATGAAACGTTCCCTACCGGCCGGAGTTCTTTAATTGGATGAAAACAATTAACGCGAGCCCGTGGACGACGTTCGAATTCCATTTCGTAATTACCATGCATTCCTTTCCTTCTCTTTTTCTTTCATTCTCGCTGTTTACGGGATGCTGTAAAATCCATGGGCAAGAATCAGAATCGTATGGAAATACATTTTCATTTTATACTATTTCAATTTATGCTACGTGTTTCGAAACAATGGTGAACGAACACGTGTGGTTCGCGTTTTTCAAACAAAATATCAACGGTAATTGAAAAGGAAGGAGGAGACGGTGTCGAATAAAATTTTCCCCGTTTCCCTCGATCGTACAATGGATACTTCCGGTCGCTAGGGAAGCACACGTTTATCAGGATTTTCCTTCTCTCGCGAAGCATAAATTTCATCGTTCTTCGTGACGAGGTGTCGTCACGCGTCGTCGCGTTAATTCTTTCCTTTTTTTTTTTTTTTTTTTTATTTTCTCTCGAATTTACGTCTCTGTGACAGATCGAACAATGGGACGCGTCGGGATAACGAGTAACGAGCAAGATTTTCCCGTACGAAAGAACAGTATTTCCCTTCCGCGAGGGTGCAGATGCAAATACTCGCAGTCTAGCCAACCAGAACAAAGGAGAATCGCGACACGAGTTTAAGATGAGGTTTTTACGTTCCCCTAGACGACGACATGGCTGCAGCAAGGGGACGGAGGAAGCCGGTAAACAGCGACAAATTATTAATCCGTCTCGGAGACAAAACCCCATTTTCCTAACAATACTGTACTTCGTTAAATCAACGAGCTTTTATGCTTTCGTTCCTTAATGCGAATCAATACAAGTTGCTCTTTTATAGGGAAAAGGAAAATGTTTGTCGAATATGGTTTTTTTTTTGTTAGGAACACGCGTGGAAAGTTATAGAAATAACGCATACACACACGTCGGGAACAGGGTGGAAAAGATTGGCCCAATTCAGGTTCGAAGCTCGCCACCCTTCTGTAGGATTCGATTTGCCGGGTGTTGGAGTTGTAGGAACGTTTATTCGACAGATTCACGGTCGCTTTGCAGGTTCTTAGCTCGCTTTCTTCTTACGATCTACATCGGTGGGCTACAAGATCGCGAAGCCCGTTTCGAGTCGCTTATTCCCTCGGGTCTGCGCGAAGATATAGGATACCGGTGAAATTTATGGACGCTAGCCAGCCGAATGCGCAAAACACGAACGCTGCAGCTTAGATTTATCGTCCTGTAGTATTTCGTTCGGATGTTACGCCCTCTCTGTCTGAAACGTAGACTGCTCAAGGTATTCCCATCGACTGCCGTTTCTATCTAGCTACATTCTAAACCCCTCGCCGAGCATCCGAATACCCTTATACCAGCTATTCGATACTACAACCATTCTCTCCGTGTATCTCGGACCATTTGTCTTGGTATCCTGTATCACAGCCTGCCTCTCCTTTTCTGCTGTTTCACATCGCCTTATGAGTTACGCTGACCTAGTAATCCCTTCGGAACGATACGGGTATAACGAAAAATTTCATTTAATTTCAGCTGAAAAATCGTACCAACAACGGTCACCTACCTGCAACGCGAAAGCAAAGTTTCGCCGTAGGGCGAATAGCGGACGTAGCAAAAGAAAAAGGTATACACTCGTAAGGGTGATATGTAAATTAGGTGCAGGGAGAACGAGGCGGGATATCCGCACCTGGGAGGACGTTTCCCGCTCCTTGTTTGTTCCCAAGCTAGTCGACATCCGTTTTCATCCACGAGCAACCAGCGAACGCACCTTACGCGTACATAAACGCGTTGTTTCTGTAGTTTCGCATATGATTTACGTTCGGAACACGGCAGGATTTCAGTCAACTTTTACCAGAGAGAGGCGTACGTGTACTTTTTTCCCCTCTAGCTAGTTTTATCGTGTTTCTAGACCGCGCGTCGTCGAGATGGAAAACTGCGGGCTATTAGTGCCGTTTGTTTTGGAATTTTTCCTTTTTTTTTTTCGTCTGGCTGGACGAGCGAAGCGGAGCCGTAATGCGTCCATTAGGTCCGTTTGCAACACAACCAGCGTGGATTTTATCGAGTCGGTAGCTCGCTTTTAGCTGGATCGTTCTGAAAAGTTTTTCCTTTTTTCGGGGGTGGAGAGGGATATTCATCGCTGGATCCATGATGAAACCGACCCACTTTCGCGTTGATAGAGGTTATAGAGCGTACTATGGGGGAATAGTAATCACTTTAAACGCGACTACCGCCTTTTATAAAAGTAATCCTTGTTTCTTGCGATGCACTTTTCGAAATTGCCCGTTTGAAGAATTGACCGACAACTTTCAACTTGTTAGGCGTGAAATTGCCCGGCAAGAAAGGGGTAAAAACTAGCGGATAGAATCGAATGTCGACGGTCTATCGATGCTCCAGATCTCGGTGTCACGACCTCGGCATTCTGGGTTAATCCGTTGGCCGAGCTCCATCTCGATGACGCGTCGATATAACCCGGGCATATTTACACGGCCTCCGATTTAACCAAGTTCCCTGAAAAAATTGTCGCCCTGGACAATGGATAGAAAGCTCTCGTTTCAACCATCTATCGTTGTAAGACACCGATCTCTTACGTTCGAGTGGTTAACGTTCGTCGTTCAATCGATATATGGATTCGGGTGAAATAGTTATCAAGAATCCGATCGTTTTTCACGCTCGATTGTAAGCGCAATTCGTTACGAGGATTCGAACAACGTGGCTGGTTGCATCGAAATATCATTTATTGGCCGACGTTCGAACAGCTTATCGTAATCTGCGCATTGTGGTCTACTGTCCCATCCGTTCGATAACGGACGAAGACTTAATCCGACGTCCGTTACATCGATAACGTGAATTATAGATTTTTCCCCCGTCGAATCGTTACGTCCCATCTGGACTATCATATTTCCACCATTGGCTTCGTGACATGTATATATGCTCTTTGCAATTTCAATTGCCAGTTTTGAATTTCATCCCCCGATATTCGAACCTGCCTGCATATTCATCGCTCGATCGTTAACAGCTTTAATTTATAATTCTACTTAAAACTGATGCGATACATTCGCCGGTACGGTTTGCTCGTTCGTTCGATTAGTAGATAAACAAATATGACCGCTTCGACGATCTGCGAAATAGTCGGAGACAAGTTTGGTGACAAACGCGAAGGCTACGTCGTACATCTTCATTCCTTTCGCTCCGTATAAAGCGTCTTATCTCACGCTTTCCACCGATGATTCTCCATTATTCCATTGATTCTCGTCGAGAGAAAGAAAAAAAAAAAAGGATGGTAAGAGAAATCCGGGACAGGATCGAACGAGTGCTCGCCGCGACGCGACGTCGCGACGCGGAATCGAATACCAGAGAATCTTTTTATCTGGAGGAGAGAAAAATTCCTCCGCGACTATCCGTTCTACGGTAAATCTCTCTCTTTCACCCTTTTCCTTTCTTTTCTTTTGCTCGAGGCTTCGATGAAATGTTGACACTCTGGCAGATCTGGAGCGAAGCGAAGCGTCCTTCTATTCGTTATTCTATTTCCCTGACAGTTTACCGACACGCGACGCCTCCCGTAACGCTGTGTCGTGAATTTACGCGCGTTGCCGATGCCGGCTATGATCGTCGCGAAATAAGTTGTGCATAATTCACGGATAAGAAACGGGATCGCCTGGCGAATCGATATTCCAACGGGAATATCCTTGTCGCGAGGAATAACATTTGTTAGAAATTTTACGGTGGAAACACGCATCAGCTTGCAGGAAAATGAAAGGGAGACGGGTCGAGTGGTATCTGGATTTTCAAGCTCGAAGGAAATTGAAAACAAAACTTTCTCGAGTAGACTGTGGGAATAACTCAATTTTCTCGGTCTGCATTATCTATTTATACTCGTCGACGCTGATTAGACTTACAACGGGCACATAATTCATTATCCTCGAGGAAGTTATCAGTTCGGCAACAAGCTTGTGCTGGGTTGGTGCATATCAAATGAATGCTCGAAAATCCAGCAGGAGACTGTATGAAATTTAGCTCTGCAACGTGTGGAATTACTCGAAGATTTTCGAGACGAATGTATTAAATAGCCATTGCTATTCGCGCTATCAGAGCGTTAAAGTGCAACCAGAGAGGAATCCTTGGAAATCCCCGAAGCGTTGTTCGGGCCAAGATATCACGAGAATGGAGCCGATGGCAGGGCGAACGCGTAAAAATCGAGTGTCATTCCCTGGAGAAGCACTTCGGTAGATTCGCCGCTATCAAGCAAGATGGACGAACGGACCGGGATCGTAAAGTCTGCCTTGGATTTTCTTGGCCCGGTGACGCGTTACAACGACGTCATTCTCGATGATGGCCGCTTCGATCCGCGGCCACGTTAAGCCGAGACGCCATGCTGGCCAGCCACGAACAGTTGTTGGCTGTTCTCCAACTGCATACAACAGCTCGAAAGAGCGGGGCTGAACAAGAGAAAACTGCGAATCCTCCTACGATCGCTCGCGCTCGGCGTACAGGGTAATAATTCGAAACGAGCCAGCCGATCGTCGCGTCGAACGCGTGTTCTCCATAATCGTTGACCTCGATCACTTAACGTCCAGGGAATCGGGGTCAGGAGGGACGCGTTACGTAGAGTGCTCGTTAGGTGGTCGATTAATTCCGCGTGATGGAGCACCTACGATTGAAATTTTCGCGGGTCCGGTGTCGTGGACAGCGGGTGAAAACGAGCGGACGTCATAAGCCGTCGACGCGAGACCGATCCTCCGGTTTTACGAGGGTCGCACACCGGCCTCGCGACGTCCCGAACAGACGTCGAGAACCGCGTCCTCGTAAATTTATCGAGTGTCATATCGAGTGCTGTCAACCCCTTGGACCGATCGGGTCCATCCTCCCGATCGCGTAAAGTGGGCCAAGATAATCGTTTGGATAAACCGTTCACCTCTCTTTCCGACACACGCATCCATCCTTCAACCGACATCGTTCTATCCTCATCGTGTCCGGTTTTCCACTTTCCAACGAGTTTTCACGAGCCAGCACCTCCGTAAATTCTACGCTCGAACGTTTATTGCGAAACGACGAAATCAGTAGGTGGCGGTGGACGAATGAACGATCCGCTTCGAAACGACCGACCCCGTCGTTAAATCCGTTTCCAGTTTTCTTCTCCTTCGTGGACCATCGTCCGAGAAAATCGATTCTCTTGTAACGATACAGAAGACTCGCCGAATCGCTTTCACACTTCTGAAAAGGAAGTTTAATCGAACGCCTCGAGAAAGAAATCATTGTCACGATAAAAAAAAGAATAGCACATGTGCAGTTTATGAAGATTACTATCTTGCAACTAGCCATCAGACGTCGAAGCTGTTCGATCTTCATAGAAATCCCATTTTTCACGGCAGAGGAAGCAGGGACAGGAAGATTTCTATGAAAAGGGAAGCGCAGGGGTAAATTTAATCAACGGCTAACAAAAATCGCGATCTTCCCTGTGGCCGGCGTGCAGGACGACGCGTCTCGAACAAGGTTTTTCAGCAAACAAGGTTCTCGCTTTAGCATTGAAGTCCAGTCGAGTAGCTGCTGTCGGCTTGCAAGAGCTAGCGGCGAGCGCAACGCAAACACTAGCGCGGTTTTCCCCGATTGCTTGGTCGCGCCAAATGAAAAGAAACGATGCAAGTCGAGTGTTTTCCGATAGAGCAAGAAAGGGACCGGTTACCCGGTGTTCTCTAACCAACGACTAATTGCTTTCTTTTTCCTCGTCGACCGAAAGTTAAAGCCGCCACCAGCTGGAACCACCCTTCTTCCTTTCCCTGCCTTTCCACAATCCTCTTCCTTCCCTCCTTTCTCTCGCTATTTTTAATTCGCTCTATTAACCGTTCCACTCGACCACGAAAGGTCTAATTAGGTCCACCAGTTTCCCTCCTTCCCTCTGCTTTGTTATTCTTTACCTAAAACCCGGCCATTTCGAACGATCAATTGCCTTCAACCCCCTGACGGTTTCCAGAAATTAGCAGGGTTTCTTTGAAAACATAAATGACCATTCGATGTAAATATCGTGATAAATGATTTTTTAAATGGTGTAGGCATTTAGTGGATGGGGAGAAAGTAGGGTTTCGTCTCTCCGGACCCATTTAGTTCGGGCCGGGGACCGCTAGGTGGCGGCGAGATGATCGGTGGATCAGTGTTCTCGCTGACGGTCGCCCGGCATGCGTTCCAAATTGCGGTATGATAGGTGTCTGGGGCAGGGATCGTCTGTTGTCAGCCCCACTGACGAGTCTGACAGATGATCCTCCGAGACGAAACGTCTTTTTCTCCCCTCTCCTACAATGGCTACATTTTTATGAACCGAAGAAAGCAATTTGAAGGTTCCGGAACGAGTATTGGCACCGGCCGCGTAAGCTCGGGTCGTATCCGTTTCGATAGGGAGGAAATAATTGCTTCGGATCGGACTTATTGTGCTCGCAAGCACCATCTGGCACAGCAACTTTGCTATCCGCAACAGCCACGTTTTCAGACGATAGAGCGGCAAAATTCGTGTCGGTGGTTTCTCGGTATCCTGCGGTTAGATGGTACGTATGTATGTTACGAACATATTCGCCAGCCATATTGCATCCGAAACTTTTCGTTCCTGTCGAAAGCAGCGAACGATCGGCTGTTCGTTTATCGTTTTTCGTAACTGCAACTAATCCCTGGCGAATCTTCCCGATCTTGCTGGCAAACGACACCGGTTCGAACAGCCTACACCTTTAATTATCGATCGAACATGGGGTATTCTTTGATGAGGGGGGTGGGGAATCGGTAGGTCGGTAAACGACGGCTTTGTAGCGAGCGTTGATGTTCCAATTACGGGAAACGTCGCCGCCTGTGCACTCGCAAATGCCAAATACGACAGGGCAGAGTTCAGCGGGCCGTGTACGGGTCGGCTCGTAAAATTTTAACGACTAGCCGCTGTTGTGAGAGCCGGTTATAAACGAAACATCGTCGCGAATCTACCGTGTGCATGCTTGCAATACCCCTCTCCCTCGATAATCGACGCGATTTTTCCTACGACGTTATTCGACAGATATTCCCTCGTTTCCCCCAATGTTATCGAGCTATATTATACGGCCAGCTTGATATTTCTTTCGAATTACGACCCGTCGAAATTACCATCTCATACGTGCCGGTTATATTATATCGTCTCTTTTCATTTTAGTATTCAACGAATTTCAACGAGTTTATTTGGCGGCTCTTTAAAAGCGCGAAGATCCTCGACTATTGTCGAGGGAACGGAGGGACGGCGTTGGAAATTGCAGGACCTCGTTGTCCCAATTACGCGAAGGTATCGAGTATTGCTCCTCCGTAATCGGTGACGTCGAGCACTGCTGCTGGATACGTCGATTCCCATGAAAGGGTAATCGAATCGACTATCGCACTTGTTAGACGACAGAATAGTCCCCTTGATCTCGGTCGCTTCGAGTTAACTACTCTCCGTCATAGCACATAGAGCTGGTCTTATTCGGTGGTTTAGAATCAGGCTCTTCCTCTCCTTTTCTACATCGTTCCATCAAATTTTCCGCGAATACAGCTTGTTAAGGAAGCACTAACCAACAATTTCGACTATTTTATGTTGGAGCACGTTTTAGAACTCGAGTGGCAATTTTAATGGGGCTCCGAGTTAAAAAGCATCCATACTCGAGAGACAGATTTCACGATTGCTTCCATTCTAGCTTTACTATCGCCGTCTGCAGGCCGTCTGTTCGCAACAAAAGCCGAAATTGGATCGCAGCCATCTCGATCTTCTTTGCGATCTACCGAGTACGATGCTGCGATTCTCGATTCAAATCCTATCTGCGTTATTGCATCTCCCTGTCGCCGTTCTTTTTCATAAAACCGTCTTGCAATTGATTTTCGTTTGATTTCATATACCAGGAGATTTGGTTTATTTTATCAAATACCTGGTTTCTCTATAATTCAAATTGGTAAATGTCTACAATTAGGGTCCCAACGAGAAATCAATTGAAAAGTGGTAAATTCTATGTATTTTTGCCACCCAAATCCAAAACTGTTGATAAAATTTGAGGGCCACTTGTAGTTACTAAGATATTGTGGTAAATATTGACGTAAAATCATTATTTTCAAAAGATAATAACAATGTGGGGTAGACGATACTTTTAAAGCGCGTCACTAACTTACATAGGTTATGTTAGGTTATCAGAAAAAATATAACTTACCTGACGGCAAAAACTTGACCAGTCAACAATAGTCTCCTTGCTCAGTTATAATTCCTGTTCATAGAGTGCACAGCGCGGAGGACGCATCATAAGAAAGTATCCAATAAAACGGACAATCGTCGTGATATCAAGATTAGAATTGGTTATCCACCTACCACTTTTAACACTTCGTTTAAATTTACACTTTGAAGTTATTCTTTTCAATGAGACTATTGTTGACTGGTCAAGATTTTGCCGTGAGATAAGTTATATTTTTTCTGATAACCTAACCTAACCTAAGTATCTTAGAAAATACAAGCGATCTCCAAATTTTATCAACAGTTTTGGATTCTAGGGGCAAAAATACATAGAATTTACCTCTTTTTAATTGATTTCTGTTGGGGTCCTAATTGTAGACATTTACCTTCAAATTAACCTCTTCCATCGATACGCGTGTTCGTAAACGCGGAGAATACCTAACCTAACCTAAGTATCTTAGAAAATACAAGCGATCCCCAAATGTTATCAACAGTTTTGGATTTGAGGGGCAAAAATACATAGAATTTACCTCTTTTTAATTGATTTCTGTTGGGGTCCTAATTGTAGACATTTACCTTCAAATTAACCTCTTTCATCGATACGCGTGTTCGTAATTGTTGAACACGGAGAATACCGGATATTACGCTCTTGTTATTCTTATCGAAATTGTATCAGCAAGCAGTATCCGCTCAAAATCCCTGCATCTCTTTCGTCTTCCAGTCACGCCCTACATTGGAACGAGCGTAAAGTATCCGCCCCTGAAGCGAGATTTTTACACCTATTCTTATTTCCCAGGCTGGAAGACTTCCTTACGAGGCAGTAACCCTTTTACACGCTCGGAACGACGATAACGGTGCTCGAAGACGTTCCTAAGCTCGTTTCTTTTACTTCTCCAACAGGAGGCTGCGTCGAGTAACTCGCGAATGAAAGCGTCCGTCCGGAGGGAGGGTGTAGATTGAAAACGCGAGGTACGATGATCGGTAGGAATCTTAAAAGCACGAAATCGAACGTTCCCTTCGGGGAGGAGGCGCTTACAAACGGGACGAACGAACGAGCGATTAAACGAAATAGCTTGTAAATTTAATATCTAAGCTTTACGAGCTTCCTGCTCGGAGCTGGAATTCAATGGATCCGTTTGATCGCGCGTATTGGAGCCGATTGGCCTCGAGCCAACGCGCCGATGGAATCGAGGACGAAAAGGTCTCACTGACCGAACGATTTTCAACGGCCAACAGTTGCTCTTTACGTTTCTGGCTATTGCGTAATTTCTTCCCCTTCCGTTGCTCTGAAATATTTGCAAAATATTAAGTAAATTGTTCTTGCTCCTTGTTATCGCGTTTTAACGATGCACGCGATAGAAGGCGAGAAAATCGCAAGGTGGACCTCGTTCTATTCGTTAAACGATGGATTCGCAAGGATAGTCGCGAGTTACGCGAGTCGTGATCTCCTGCGAACGATTGATATTATCCTGAACGAGGATTCGTGCTAGGAATCCTGTTCCGCCACTTTTCAGACCTTTGTCTCCGGCTCGTTTGAATCCGAGAAACGATCCCGGCGAGTGTTCGTGTGCTTTCTTGAATTTTTCTTCGACGACCTAGCAGTACGATCGTTCCCAATGACGAAGCCAATATCGAGAATGATCCTGGGTACACGGTCGCAGTTACGCGTTAAAGTAACGCGATCAGCGTGTTCGAAGCGAGCAATCAGCTCGCCGGGAAATGTGATTTGCAAGCGTATTCTCCTTGTCAGAGATTGCGCCCCCTTCTTCTTCGCGGCGTTTCGACGCCATGATAATTCCGGCCTTTTCTTTTCTCCTCTCCACCTGACAAGCAGAAATTTTATCGTGGAAGACGCAAAGCCGATTTCCAGCCAGCCTACGTGGCTCGTCGTAACGCAATCCTTGAACGACGTCGGGGAAAACGTGTCTGGAAATTTTTTCGTCAAACTCTATCACAGCTACAACCTCTTCGAACTTGAAAAAAAAAAAACACAGACCAAGCAAAGCCTTTGGCTAAGAGAATCGTAAGATTCAGCATCTGCCCTCGAAATAAAAATTAATCTTTTACAATCTTTTACTTCTCGAGCTGATAAATTTCTAAGCTCCAATGAGAATAGTTAAATCTCTGCGAACTTTTCACCCGTATCGCTATACATCTTGCTTTTCTGCACATGATCCCGTAAATCGCACGTGTCACGTAGCAAATTCCTTTTGTTCACACTTAGTGTAGACTTTATTATTCAATCACTCGATCGAGAATGTCGTACATCGGCGTTGTCCAATTCATTTATTATAAACATTCGTGCGTATCTAGGAAAACGCAGGGACAGCTGTACCTGCGTGGTGGCCCTGGGCAATGCCGCCCTTACACAAGTAACGTAACTTTCTTTAGAAATTCGATTGAAAAACTTCTACCAGACTAGGTTATGCGACTTGTCACCCTACCTACATATAATCCTTCTTTTCGGTCATCTGCTTTTGTAAAATTCATTTATGTACACTAATGGAACTTGTACCGTCTATTAAAATAAAATAAAATAAAATAAAATTAGTTAATTGCAAACGTCTCTCCCTGTATATTTGACGAGCAATTCCCAATCGAGAGCGTTCGACAACGTGAATGAGAAAAGGAAAGCTGATTGATATCTTTGCCTTTATAGAAACCGAACCGATACGATATATACATATAGAGATGTAGAGGGAGGTCGAGACCGATCGAATGGGCGATTCGATGAAAATCTGGCTTCGCTAACGATAAGTGATCGAGCGGACAGAGGTTAATGCAGCATGCAGAGCCGGCCAGACCGTTCCATATAAATTTGCGTTTACCCTGTTTATTACACGAGTATTTTATCGAGTTCCTGTCACACGCAGCCACGGCTAGATACAAGGGCCAACGATAAATCTCCCGGCTCTCGACCGAGGCAGCCATAAAGATTTTTCTCTTTGCGCCGCCGATACCTGTGCACGAGCACACGCTAATAGAAGCCTGATTAATTTCGGGTTCAACCGATTGGACGGCTCGTTCGACCTCGATAAGTGTTCCCTCAATTTTATTTTCTACCTCTATTGCAGCGTTTTTTACTCTACACAGTATTTCCTACACTTTTTCATTCTTATTCTGAATTATGAAAGAGAAATTTTTAATTAAATCGTTTATTAGCCAACCCGCATCTAAGATTGAAAATCTTCAGAAAGGGGATGTAGCATTTAGACTTTCTGTCACTTTTGTACAGGCCAAACGGTAAGAGTTATCTAAATAATTCCCGATCACTTCCGATCTGACCGGAAATGGCTGAAAAAGGGTTGGCTCTAGAGCAATTCTCGCTCTAGTTCACTTTAACTTGTTTTACATACAGTCTTTGTATAGAGATAATGTAATTAGAATGTTAGTTGATTAAGCGTGGCTGTCGACGAGCATGGTATAAATGTCGTTTTCGTTAATACCGATGGGCCAGGGTGGCGTGCACCCAGTACGGTTAATAGGGTGCTAGAGCGTCAAGGGAAACTCGAAACGGTCACCGTGTACCCTCTGCACGCCTCTATTTATTCGCCCTGCTGCAATTCCACGTGCACCCGTTGCATCCGATACGGGCTGCAGAGTTTTTTCCCTGCACTATCGACGCCAACTGCTAAACCAGTTGATGCCTGATCGCACCCAGATAATCCTTTCCCGTTTCTTTTTTTTTTTATGCTTGGTCCACCGCGTGTCGTGTTTACGTTTCGATTCACAATGGCTGCTTTCTTTGGTAGATACATGTTATTTCGCTTTGAATTTCGGTTCACACGTGGCTGAACTTTGCGCGAATTGTAGGGGATTGATCGAACGATCCTTAAATGGTGTATCGCGTGATCTCGGAACGATACGTAGCTTTTCACTGTACGGATGGATTAATTATTTTCGAAGGGCACGAACTGCTGCGAAAAATTTCTACCTCCTCGACGAAGATAAGTTGGAAATCGTGCAAACTCGAAAGAAATCCATCTCGAGAAGCCGAGATTCCTATCCCTGAACAATCTAATCGCACTCAGAAACGCTACTTGCCGAACCACGTAGACCATAGCGAACTCTTTCACGTTTTTTTCCCCGACGCTTCTTCTTGCGAGGATCTGTCACCGGAGAAATTATTCTTAGCGGGAACATTCTTTTCGCACGGTTGCACCCTTTTTACTGTTATTCTTGCGTGGATTCGTTGTTTTTGCGAGATCCTCCGTTATCGATTCCAACCCTCGACCCTCCGTTAAGAATCCAGTGTCGTCGACAGACCTTTTTCCGCTCGACTTCTGGAAAAAAGGAAACTTGTTCGCTATAGAGCACCTGTTCTTGCTCCCTTGTTCCCTTCTGGCCGATGCCTCGTTTCACCAACTCGGTGACACTGTCTCCTTACTGGTCAACCGGAAGGAACGAGCCAGAATTCGTATAATTACGAGTATCCTACGATGTGTAGGCAAATAGTTGGAGCATCGCTGCATAACATGCTAATTTCAGTATCAAATGGGACGTTAGTTATAGATGTACAGGGGTTACGGTGAATAGAGGGGACACGTATGTATATGCAGAGGGACAGGATGTCTCAGCTCTGTGTCGCATGTATGGCCCAGATAAGACACGGTTAATTTGCCTCGAGCGAATGTTGCCTCCTGCGAGGCTTCGAGCGACAGCTTATCGATACACGAAACTACTTACGTCCATGTAGGTACGTATTTCTACTCGTTTGTTCGAAGAACAGAAACGTTGAATTAACAGAATAGAAATTGCTAAATCCAAGCTAATTGATAGAGCACCCCATGGGATTCAACGCGTTAACACCAAAAGTATAATACGGTTGGAGCGAAGTGATTGGGAAAACGTTCGCTTTGATCGCGTTATTCGTGGAACAGAAACGCGTTCGATTTGCGATACACGAGAGCGGCAAGATACACGCGACTCTCGCGGAAATGAAATTCCGCTTGCGCCGCGGTCGTAATTGGATTTTCGGCTTCCGAGAGAAAATCTCGGACACGTTGGCCGGAAAAAAAAGCCCGATTCCGAGGATCCCCATCGGAGAATCACGCTCCAATTCTCGTTACCCGGTTGACTTTTCGTGGCTCTCCGTTACATCGACGACAACGTCGTTTGGCACCGAGCGTTAATTAATCTTCGAAACAAAGAACCTTTCCGAGACGAGACTTCTCGAAGGTTTAATGGAAAATCGACGAACGCTCGCTGGCATTTCACCAAATTCTTCTTCCATCCTTTTCTATATCGATTAGAATACCGAGCTTCACCTAATCTAACGTCCCTGAAGCGTTAAACACAATTTTATTTAATAACCGACACGTTCGTCAGAGATAATTCGATCGATCAATCAAACCTCCTACTGTTTCTCACTGTTCTCTTGGGAATCCGAGTAAAAGGAGCCACAACGGCTGATCGATCACAATCGAATTCGCGATGTAAAATGCATCGAGGCCGATAATTCAATCGCAGACGTCGCTGCTTCTGCTTGCCTCGAATCGATATGAATTGCTTCCCACTGAATCACAAGATTATTCCGTTTTAACTATTTTTCCCTCGACAAAAAGAGCAAGAAAATGAAAATATAACTGTCAGGGTAGTATATTCCCTTAACGGCTTTCCATCTACATCGGCATTTTCATTTTTGCCGTTTCCTCGGAACGGGGTTGTTATCGTGAAAACCGTGATTCAGTTGTCCCTGGTGGCATCGAGTGTCCAGGACTGAACTTGTCCAACCCTAAACCCTTTAGCGACATCCAAAGTCTCTTCTTCCATTCTTGTCGCAGCAACGAGCCCGTTCGATCCAGCCGTCTATCCTTCTACGTGACTCGACGAGGCATCGGTTGCAGGGATTCCAGGAAATTCAACTCGTAACCGAAGCTCGATCGTATTTCCTCCAATAAGGCTCCTCTTCTCGCGGCCAGTCAGCAGGAATTTCAGAAACTCCATGCGGATCCTTATTCCAGCTTCCGCGACGTATCTCCAATTACCGCGCCAGCCCGGTACAGTTAAACTTATTCCATAGAATCCGTCTTCAATACACCGTGCAGACGTATAACGCGGCTCATTGTTCCTGCCTTCCCTATTGTGTCGTCCGCTCGCGTGTTACATTCTAACCTTCCACACACTCGCTGCCCTCATTCACTTGCTTGCCTCGTCGCAGACCTCCGACCAACCCCTGCCCGCCCCCACTCTTTTCTTTTCCGCAGCGTCTCAATCTGCGAAAGCTACGGCAAACAAAAAGGCCTGTCGTTCACGGCTGCGACCGTTTTGTGTCTGCTCGCGAATCGCGAGCCACGTTACTGCGGGCGCAAACTGGAACGCTGTTTCCGAAACACCTTCGGCGAGCTTTTGTCAAGCTTCATCCTTCTGAAACGCTTCAGACTTCTGGCATTTCTTTTTTTCTCACCAACAGAACGATTATTCACACTGATTTTCACGCTAGCCTGAAGCTTCGAAACTGATAACGTATTAAGTATGTAAATTTATTCTGCCGAAAATATAGAAAACCCCTTTCTCCGGTCACTTCCAGTTATTGTTGTAGCAACGCGCGTGAAATCACGGTCGGGACCGCGCCAATCAGGCGCGAGAGTGGCCCTGATTGGTTCGAGCTTATTTCCCGATCGCCACTTTTGAAGGCCTCTAGATTCTTTCGCGCGGACCTCCAAGAGTGCCGATCGAGAAATATGCTCGAACCAATCAGAGCCACTCTCGCGCCTGATTGGCGCGGTCCCGGCCGTGGTTTCACGCGCGTCGCTACATTGTCTTCAACCAACTCGTCGAGTTACATTTCTTTGTCGCAACAAAAACGAATTTCGGATAACAAGTCGAGCAATTTTCCGCGAGAATCTCGAGCATAAAGTGCAGGGAAACAAGGGCAATCCTTCTGGTCGTAGTGCTTTAAAGGAAGTCGAAACGCAGATACGGGCTTCCGCGAGTCAAAGGCTAGAAACACGACTAACTGATGGACAGATTCCATAGCTGCTGGTAGGATGGAAGGGGACGGGTAACGTTTCTCAAACTTTCCAACACTATAGACGCTTGATACGTGACTTTCGTCGAGTTCAGACCTTGTCGTTTCGCTTTTTCGAATAAACCTAAAGTATTAACATGAAACGCACCTGCGTATCGCAAAGTCTTGCCGAGAAACTTTGATCACGATTCTAAGGAGACTTTTTAAAGCTTCCAGTAACTCTGTATAAGAATTGGGTTGGATTTGAAAACGAACTATATGAAATGGCAAACGATAGATCGTAAGATTCTGATAGGGATTTGGTAGAATAGCTTGTACTTTGAGAAACGCTGCTCTAGCATCGGGGATGACCAGACCCAAGGGGGAGGGGTGGCTCGTGCTATAATCTTCTTGACAAAAGCCACCGGGCTCTGACCGCAATCCGAAATCAATAGCTCGCGGTCTGTTGCCGCTATCTGTTCCATCGCCTCTACATTCCGTATAAATAGACGTACGCTTAGTGGAAAACGAGTTCTACTCCTGGTAAGTCGGCGGAGTGCATCGATAGAGCATCTACAGTCCCTGGTTATCGAATCAGTACCACGTACGAGAGTTTCACTTTTATGGAATATATGAAAGATTGTCTTAGGTCATTCAAATTATTACTAGATACATTGATAACGATTTGTTATTATTGTGATGAAAATAAAATTCTATTGGCGAGTGTTTGCCTGGAACCTACTCAAAAGACTTGTTTACAACTCTCCAAGCACCACATTATCGGAATTGAAAACGAAAATTACAGATATTTGGGAAAATAACGAAGATATAAAAAGCAACGTACGAAGCATGCCGAAAAGAATACAAAGTGTAATCAAAGCAAAGGGTGAAAATACAAGATATTAATTATGTTAGTAGCTAATACATTATATTATTACAATTTGAACAGGCCTTTTAATTTTACGGAAAACGTGAAAAATGCTGAAAATTTCTAGTGGTCCTAATTCGATGGCCAGGAACTGTTGGTTTTATTCAAAAGACAGAAGCTTCACGATACCTGTACGTTTTTCAAATCTCTTAACGATGCAAATGAATTATTGCTACGTTTTCCACGTTAAAACCGAAGGTAAAAGCGTCCCCGTTCGATGCCGACGAGAAATCGTTCGGTGATTTATTATCCTGAAAGGGAAGAGCGTGTATCCGCGTGGCAAAGCCAACGTGTAGCAGCTGACACAGAGATTCCAGGGGATGGTTCTGCCTTCTCGAATTACCGTTTACGTAATTCCCTAGCCAAACGATCAGATTTTCCGGGTATTACACGGATTTCCCGACCTCGTTACAAGATGACTTCGCCCCACTGAATTTATGCCCCAGGTTGTTCCATTTCTATTCGTCCTACCTACCGATCTGATACACGTCGAACGATAAAGTCAACAGGAGCGCAAACACCATTTTTCCGCGTGACAAAGCGTCGAATAATTATTTCTTCACGGTGATGGATATGTTGCTTAATGTTTCCCGATAAATGCCGCAGAAAAGTCAGCCAATGAAGTAGCCGCACGATTGAATTTCGCGATCGTTCGGTTATCGGGGAAAAAGCGAAGGCGGTTTCCCTGGCTGTTCTATCGAACGAACTTTTCCCGGCTCGATTTCCATGAAATTTCTGGCGCGAGCATTTTTCGAATACCGGCGTTATTAAATGCCCGATATATCGGCCCGGCTGCCATTGGTGACATAGCATCGGTCGGCACGAGCTGGTCTGCGTTAAAAATCCACGTCAGGAATGTTTTGAAAATGCATCGGTTGATCGATGCTGCACGATGGTGCACCACACACCCGCGCATCCAGAGGAACAAGGACGATGGATTTTCCCTACGGTGTCGAATTCGTTTAATCCATGCCGTGAAAGCAGTGAGAGAAATCGCGCGCGGTTTACGCGATTTAGGGAAAAACAGTTGCCAAGCGGATTTTCTGCATTTACGGATTCGTTTCGTTCTAAATCTTCTTCATTTTTAAATGCTTCTCGTGAAATTTCGATGTTTCAAGTTTCACGAGGAGTTCATTTTTGAGAAATTCAAGCAAAGTAGGGAAGTGAGAATAATAGATATTAGATTTCGAGTGGAATAGAAAGTAATCAGAATATTTTCACTTGCTCCCGCGTATAATATTTTCAGATTTTCCTAAGAATTTTTACGGCAGTCGGATCCTAGAATTGGCTAGAATTTCTACGTACAGTCGAGACTGCTCGGTGTTCGCCCTGAATTAAATTAATACCGGAACCGCGCGATTTTTTTCCATTTCCCTTTGTCCCGCTTGTATACAACAGGCCAGGAAAAACGGGAATAATTTCCACGAATCGTCACCCACTATGATAAAAAGAAAGATTAAGGTGCTTCGATTTCGCTGCTAATATCGAACATTTGATGTTACAGAAAGCGGAATGGAATAGATGGAGCATTGTCTGAATTCGTTAAGAGTCGAAAATGACGTCGTTACGACGGCACGGAGGCAAGGTAAGAATTTTAATTAATTTCCATAGCCGGGACCGGCAAGAAGTTTCTCGTTAATGCATTCTTCGAGTCTGCCGTTCGACGCATAATTAATATCGTTAAGCTGGCCAGACCGGAAGAACTTTTACGCGGCGCATTCGAGGCCGGAAACTGCGACGATTGCGATGCAGGCCGGCATTAGCGACGCGTTGGATGCTCGTTAAAATCTCGTTAAGTGTTCCCGCTATTCTGTCCCGTCTTATGTTAATGCTCGCTCGCATAATCCGCGGAAAGAAACAATGCCATTCTTTCCCAGCCGCTCCGCGTTTTATATTTCGACGAGATCGCGAAACAGAAAACGTTGCCGGATGAGGGACGGCCGGTTGAAATGGAACAGTGAAACGCGCTTCTACCGCTAAGTAAGACAACTCTTAAATTCTGCTTCTGGCAGATCAATTTATGTAATGCAGAGTAGACGAATAGATGGCTTTTATCGCGTTACCGGTGATTCATTTCCACAGTTTTAAGACAGTTTTGCAATAAAAAGCTGGAAAATCTCTGGCTGTCAGTGAGAGAGACACGGTAAGCAGTTAAAAAAAGATTTCACCCCGACAGAAACGTAATTACACAAGAATATATATCATAGAGCAAGGTTCCGCATGGTCCAAAAGGGACCCATTTAAAAAATGTTTACAGTTTCGACGTGAATCACGTTCTTCGCCGTGTTTGCGTTCGCGTTATGCGGCAACACGAGGATGTCGTGTGCACGGGACTCCATTAAAGTGCACCGGCAACTCTCGGCGCGCGGTGGGAATTTCGGCGCGTTTTAATTTTCCGGCCGCTGGTAGGTAGAGGAAAGGAAGGAAAAGGATCCGCGGAATTAGTCGCCGGTACTTCTAATTAGAGGTGGCGGTAATGAGTTAAAAACGGACGCGAGGATCTCTCGAGGAAACGGAAGGGCTGTGAAAATAAGGGATGGAACACGGTCTCGGATGGTCGTCGAGCAAACGATAGTCTATTACGCTCGGCGGCCGGAAAGAATTACCATGTTGACGAATGGATTTTCATTTTCGAGTCTCGCCGCGTGCACGAAACGAACGTTTTATAACAACCTTTTCCATCGCGATTCAGTTTTTATTCTCACCTTTCACCGACTCGATTATTAATTAACGCGTCAATTACTCTCGTAAATGAATTGCATCTGCGCGATCTCTCGACTCCGGATGAAAGGAAGGAAAAAAAGATGGCGATCCGGGCGAACAATCGAGATTATTTTCAAAGGAAAAGCAGACCCGTCGATGTCAGCGATTGTTTTCACGCGCGGCAGACACGCGAGGCTGAACAGGCAGATTCTTTTTTCGACATTCCAAGGATCCTTCCTTCGGAAGCGTTTTAATTCCATCGACACCCCACTCAGCTAGACATTCTATTCCCTCTGCTTCCCTCGTTCGTTCAATTCAAACTTAATAAAGCGTCATGCACACTGGCTGGCATTTTTCCGCGACTCCGGCAAGACGAAGACCGAATTGAATGCGGCGAATGCTCATTTAGCATCGCGCCGCGTTGCAGCCAACCCCGACCCACCTCCCCTAAGCCGCAGCCAACCTCCGTCGATAGGAAGCTGGATCCAGCCTCTCCTCCTGGATACGGCAGCATCCTTCTGGAATCCTTAATATAGTCCGTCGAAAGGGGAGAGCTGGACGGGGGGGTTGAGAAGGGTGAGAATGGCACGCGAAAGGGATGATATCTCGCCATCCTGAAAATTACGTCCCGAGCACGATATACCCCCTCGGCTGGGTAAATAGGCATCGGGAATGGAACATCGTCGGGATGCGAAATGGCTCGACCCCGCCATTTATTCGTTTCTTTTTTATACTCCGAATGGAAGACCGTGTTTAATTTTCAATTAATAGGACGTAAAGTGTAGCCGGTGAAATTTCTTTAACATCCCTTATATTTTTATAAAATAGCTTGATAACGCGCTGGAGTTGCTCTAATTTGGCCGGGGTTCAAATCCAGCCAGAGGTTGAAACTATTTCTCCCTGAAATGTTTCATCGCGAAACTTGTATAGGATAGGAAAAAAAGTGAAATTCTCGTAGAGAAAATTAGCGGAGATTAGGACGTTTCGCAATCGATGATAAACTGGGGAGCTCGAAACTATCGGTCCTTCAATCTCTCTCGTCTGC